ACTACTAACTACTAACTACTACTACGTCTGTGAGTAGCTGATCCAGCATGTTCCAACATCGTCACTACTACAGCATGCAAGAACAAAAGCACGATCACCAGGCCTGCTGCTGGTGTTACTCGGGAAGGAGCTGCTGATGCTTTAGCTACTTCTGTCAATGCTTTAGCTTTAGATGCGAAGCCCAGTACCCTCCCTGATATCTGCCTTACCGAATCATAGCCACTCACTGGCAGCACCAAATAGTTGAGCCTCGGCTTTTCATGTAAGGATTGAATGTGTAGCAAAGCTTCTGTCAGTCTGCTTTCTACGCAGAACTGGCGGCCAAGAGACGGCAGTCTTGCGACTCGTGCGTCCACAGATGCATGGAAACAATGGCCGCGCAAGCACGCAAGGAGTGTTGCAGCATCGCAGGTGCTCGCAAACAAAGCCTGCTGCAAAATAAGTTTGAACCTGTGCTACACACATGTACTTCGGCCCGCAAAGCGCATCCCCACAGCACGAGTGTGAAAAATGCCCATGGGCGACCCGGAGTACCACCGAACAGAATTGCTTTTGACTGAACAAGTACGGGAACAAGTTCAGTAAATAGCCCGGCAGCTGTGCCAGACTGGCTGTGATCGGAGTCTCGAACATGATCCACCTCGAGACAATCAGCATGCTGGCTGAGTGCTCGCAGCGGGCCGACTGGCACATGAACTTTACGTTTCCAACTAGTCGTTGGCTTCCTTGCCTTCGAGTCCTGACATGTCCCAAAACCAATATAGCCAGTCAAGTACAGCTCACGGCGGGATTGACATCCGGCAGGATTTCTGCTTCTATAGTTGCCACTATTTCTGCAGAACACCCATGAAGCATCCGACGAGAAGAAAACGATTCCGTCGTCGTCCAGACTCACACAGCCCTGTCCCGGCCTAACGCCCCACTTGGGACAACCCGGTTGGACCATCCCGCCACTGTAGAAGAGGTAGTTGCCATTCAATGCACTGTAGAGGCCGGCCTGCGAGGTTTCGCGGGGTCAAAGGCTGCCCCGAACAAGTCATCATCAGTTTGGTGACATAGAGCAAAAAGCCAGAATGTGGCCGTTGGAACGACTGCCCCGGCAACCCAACTTCCCCCCAAATGCTCCGAACAAGCCTCGATCTAACCCAAAACCACTCTTTACCTGGCACGCCCAACACCATGTGGCTCGTGATTAGGGCTTGCGGCCGGAGGGCAGCGCAAGGGTTCAAGCCCCGCACAAATCCTTCTACATCCACCTTCTCTCTGGCCTGCAGAGCAGCCTGTTCTTTCGCCCTTGCCCTGTCATCGCATTAGCATCCTTCAATTTCCGCGGTGGCACCTCGACGTTCACAGCTGTCTCAATGTGGTAGTGATGCATATCCTCCCAAAATCCGGTTGGCAGCCAAATGCTTTTACCAATCCGGCTTCTGAGGTAATGACGACGACGGGTTTCAACTTTGGGACCGTAGCTGCAAGCTCCCCGACTGATGAACACCGGCTTGGAAAAACCGGCAACCCCCCAGAATCGCTCAAAGCCTAAAGGCTGTCCTTGATGCTATCCTTATAGGCTTGGAACGGCAAGCCCAGCTCCCGCAGCAGCGGACTCTCCACTCCCAGCTTGATGGGCACCTGACTGGGGCTTCTTGCGAGCCATGGAGAATTCAGGTGCCCGCACCGGCAGGCGGCTCCTTTCTGTCCTTCCTTCGCTTCCGTTCCGTCCTTGACCGCTACGGATGTCACACCTGTCAACACATCTCCTAAGACTCCTGCAGGGGGAAAGAAAACATAACTACAGTGAACGACACGACTATGATCATGATGGTGATGATGACGATCATGACGATGGTCATGATGATGGTGATGGCACCATTGGTGTTGCTGGTGTTGCTGATGGGAAAAAAGGCAACAGGAGCATGGTAGCCACATGTAGCCACGACAGCGCTCGGGTGGTGCAGATTCAGGTGATGCTGGAGATGACGCAATGATGCTGCAGCTGCCGACGACAATGATTGTCATGCGAAGTACTCAAGGTAAGTGGGAGAAAGCAAGCTTCCATGATCATGTGCATCACAACCATGGTCATGAATTACCGTTGCTGCGTCATACCAGCGTAACTGCCACGACTAGAGTGCTGAGAGCCGGCACGGCAACAACCACGGCTGCAACTACTAGCACTTAGCCATTCAGCTGGTAGTAAGAGGCATATGCAAGAACGCACAGAAGGCCAGCATTTCAGCAAGATTTCATCTCGACACTCTGGCAGTGCTGTAAGGATTCTGGTTCTGGCTGGGTGCTTTCCTGGCTGCACGAGCCCGAGGTCGGATCTGTTCGTTCCAGTGGCAAATGCAGCTCGGCGTGCCACACATTATAAACCCATCTGAGAACTTGGGTGCGGTTATGCAATGCAAATCGAGGCACGCTAATATACAACCGATGAAGCTCGTCCTCCGTCTCCTGAAGCCGTCGTCCATGGTGCTGCTCGCCTTCCATATAAGTTGACGCGCAGCCACGGTATTAAGTCAGAATCGGGGTGGGGGAACTACGGATCGTCCACCTGCCAAGCATGCCGGCAACTCCTGAAGGCCCATCCTGTGATTGGACTCCACTTGAAGTCCAGAGATGCTCTTCTGATGGTAGGTGCGGTTACATGTTCTTATAGACAGTGCTAGAAAGTAGGGGGAGTCAGTCAGGCCCTCACCAAGGAGCAAGAAGCTGTGCAGAAGTACACGGCTTCAAGTGGAAACCGTCAAAGAAGTTGATCTAGCTCATCACTAGATGGACATCAGCTTTGATTTCCTAGGTCCGGCCTAGGAAGTCAGCAGTCTCCCTCACCGTGGTGGCCACCTCGTCGCCGAAGACTAAACCTCCGGCCCGTGCAGGTTTCAGGGACCGGCCAAGTCGTGCTCTATTACGAAACCTTCGGCTTGACGAAGCAGTCCCTGCGGCACTTTGGATTTCCACAAGACAAGACAGACAGATTATGTGATGAGAGCTCAAGGCCAGCGAACTGTGTCTCGGATTGGATGATGGCTCTGGGTGCTGTGATGGCTCTGTTCGTCGGTGCTGTGATGGCTCTGTTCGTCTTGTCAATGGGCTCCCGCATGGCAGCGTCCCAGTTAGCCGCAGTTACCTGATTCGTGCCGTTACGTATGTTGAATGAGGCCGAACCTGCTGTGAATATTGAATATGAGCACGCTGCACCAAGTCTCCCTGTCCGTCAAACAATGCCAACAGAGCTGTGAATATCGTCCCGACTTGCGACAGAGGCCTGCGCAAGGGAGGGACTGGCTACCCCGAAGTCTGCACAACACAGAGTGTCAACATTGCGTGCTGTTGGTCGTACGTCGTACATGCTAGCAGCTTGTCTACCAAAACGGCCCGGCATCACGACCACATGCTTCAGAACACCCTCTGTTCAGTCCACGCGGCACTCGATAATGAGCTCCCCAGCGTGGTAGAGCCCATTGTATGTGTGGGAAGACACCGGCTTGATTCGGATCCTTTCATTGGCAAGATTCCATCGAGATGACTCATGACTTCTGCAAACATAGGGAATGCCACTACCAAACGGCAGCGTCTCGAATGATCGATTGCAGAGAGCAGTTTTTCCATCTATTTTCGCTGAACACCGGACGGTATCATTTGAGGATTCGAGGTCTGCCGAGGCGCTTCCGCACCATGTACTTGTATCCCAGCACCAGGATCGTGCCGAAGTTCGGCAAGGGCCCGGCGACACCAGCCTGAAAAGCAGTCTGATCCACAGCTATCCTACTGTGACTACGACTACGACTACGACGTCTGCAACTCTCGCCTCCAGTGGGATTGCATCCACGCTGTAGTTGCCTGAGGCAAAGGCCCACTCTCAATCGGTCAGAGTATGGCCACGCAGGCACGCATGCTTTCCACGCAGTCTTGCAATGCAAGGTGAAAAGACATGGCTGCTCTAGAAATGGTTTTGGTCCGACTCTGTACCATGTGCGTGCAATGAGAGAGTTGCCGGCCAAGCAACTTGGCATGACCCTGACATGCTTGATAGTCTTGAAGTTCCACTGTGGCAGCTCTGCACCGGTGGTGGATGCCTGTGTCGTCATGGATGCTGCAAGCATGTCCACGACATCAGAAGCTCGGCTCTGACGTCGCTTGCTGGCCAGGTGTGTGCGCATGCAATGCCTCAAAACTAGAGACAGAGAGATAGAGGGGGGCGAGAGAGGAGGGAGAGTGCAAGAGGGAGAAGACAGAGAGATGGAGCGAAAGCACCGCTTCGACGGACTGAACGGCTGGCAAAACCATCCCGCTGTTCCGTGAGTGAACGAAGAGCACAACAACCCGGGGCTGAACAATTAACGACATATATGAAGACATGAGCACTCAGAGAGAGAAGGAGACGGGGAGAAAGGCGCTGGGTGGGCCTGCGGACAGGCGGACAGAAAGGTGCTGACAGACAGAGATAGTGTCGGACACCGAGACAGGGAGTGGGAGAGGGAGACAAGACAAGGACAAGGCACAAAGAGAGCGAGAGCGAGAGACAGCAATTAATCAAGCTTCTATGCAGCTCTGGTCCCTCCAACCTTCGAGGCAGACATATCCACGGGGGACTTGACACAGCCTCGCACAGGCGATCGTCTGACTCGAGAAGCCAAGCACTCAGAGCACTCTCTTAGCACTGGCATAATATCAACAGCAACTTCCATAAGAAGTGACTAGTACATCTTCCGGTTAGAAGGGTGCATCTGCAGCGTTCTAGCGCGACATGGCTCAACGTGCCATTACCATCAGCGACGACGTAACACATTTGGGTTTGAATTTGCAACGGTAGCCCTTCCAACAACAGCACATCTACACCACAGGCAGTCGAACGCTGGACCCTGGCACAGGAGCATTGCGCAACCACAGATTCCAAAAGTTCGAGTCCGAGTCCATGGAAACCCCGAAGACTGCTACGGCCCAGGGCTCTGGCTGTTCAGGCGCTGTTGGCTCATGCCGTAATCCCAGCACCTTTGCACATGAAACAGGAATTTCTAAGACCACCAAACTGATAGGCATGTCTTGAAGAGTAACGGGCATCAGGGCCACTGCTAGTACACGATAGTTTGAAAGCTGATGATGATCGACCTTGATAAATAGAACTGAATACCTTGTGTGTTATTGCCATCTGCCACGCTGCCTGCAGCATCACCAACTCTTCCAGCTAAGGATTTGCTAAGGCTGCTACGGAGGCTTTCATCGCAACACTAACACGTCGGCTGTCAGAATCCGCCCATGTACTATGAAACCCTCCCAACCATGATAGAGCGGAGAAGGAGAGGGCTAGTGGAGAGGGGTTCCGGTTCCTCTGAAAAGGCAAGGCACGTGCCAGATCGGAAGGAGGTGCCGTTGGCAACAGCGGCCTGTCGAGCGAAGTCCGCCAAGCTTCAAGCTACTGCTTTCACTTGTTGTTCTCCCCGCTCTCTTTGTTTCGCTGGGAGTATTGGGCATGAGAGCTCCTCCTGCCCCAGGATGCTTTTCTTTCCCCGCCCCCCCTTTCGCGGACTGCTTGCTGCAGCTCTCCGCTGCATTGGCTCGAAGCAAGCGTGGTTGGAGCATCTTCTGGCTCAGCGTTTCTTCTGTTGGCGTCTGTGGCATGGCTCAATACCTCGGAGCATCTAAGCTAAAAAGCCCGATCACGGCATGCCCTTTCAAGGACTCTCGCCGTCTCTCCTATGATTCGCTGATTGTAAAGCTAGCCAATCTGAGGGGGTGGAGCAGCTTCCACAGTGGCTTTCGACCATGAGGCACTCCGATGAGTCAAAGAAACCAGTTGCCGGCCTGGCAAGTTGCTTCCCAATGCGGGGATCCCACGTTCAGCGTGTTCATCTTCACGGCCCGGCACTGACCTCCAAGGAAGGATGAGCTCGGCAGTTTGCAGCTGTTTTCGTTCAGCGATTGCGTTGCAATCAATTTTATTACGCTCAGAAGAATCCAGAACATAAGCAGACAAACAGACAGATACAAACAGAGACCGAGATTCAGATAGCGAAACACGCAAGCAAGTGCAAGCAAGCGAAGCTGCCACCCACACACGCACACAAACACACAATTTGCGCACGCACTTTCCATGGCGCGCTCCCTTTCCTGCGGCTCAGTTGCACTGACCCGTCCTCTCCTAGATGTTTTGCCAAGGTGCCCAGAAAGGGTGAAGGGATCGGGCCTCGCTTGTTGATCCCGCCTCGCGTGTCGGCTCCGACGGGGCGAATGCTCGTGGTTACAGGGAGCATGTCATGTTTGTGCATGTGTCGCAGATATTTTGTGCATCCTGCATGCGAGGCCAACTCGTCGCACCTGCCCAGCAGCTGAGGACGGCTTCCAGTGATTTGGCTTGCGAAGTGAGGATCGGCTGCGCCTGCACGGGTCCACACACTTCTATGCCGGTCCGGTTGAAAGGTTGCTTCGCAGGTTGTGGCCAGGGTTTGGACTGGTGCACAGGGAGTGCCGTTTACGAAGGCGGCTAAACTTATCTGGGCACTTTAGGGCATCCAGGCTGGGGGCTTACATGGGCTTACAGCAGGTCCGTTCCAGCTGGTGCCGGTGCCTTGCCAAGAATAAAATACTTGACGGTCTCAGTGCATGGTGGCACGGGAACACTTCCATCATACCTGGCAAGCGCAGGACCGAGATGCACACCGCGGCGGAAGCCCTGACCCCAAGCGCAAGGCCCGTTTGAATCCGTACTGACATACTTTCGACGGAGGGCATGCTAGTAAGGTCGTGCTCAACAGGAGCCATCCAGGCAGAGCATCGACGTACTTTCGGTGTCCACTCCGTGGGAACATCACCCGCAACACTTCTGCCAGGATGCTGGTATGAGGGCCCCTCCAGAGAGCTTGACAAAGCCTGACACAGATGCGACAGGATTCCTCTGCTCCGAGTCCCGGTAATTGGGGCCTCTTGTGGCAGGCTTCAGGCCATCTGACTTAAGGCTTAAGGCACGAGAGCTTCTGGGTATGGGATCCAACGACTTCGAAACCGCAAAGCAACTGCCCCGGACAGGCCTCCGCCAGATTGATGTAATGCGATGCCGTCCAGGATTTTGCAGGGCTTGCAATGCCTTCGCTGGAGAAGCCTTAGCTGCAACATAGTTCCAGCCGCTTGCAATACTCCCTCGCTGAAGCTGCACCGGCAGACTATGCCGCTCTTCCAGGGGCACATTGCAGCAGGCAAGCCAACAAGCCCGTCTCACAGAACACCTTGGCTAGCTTGAACCCCCTCGCAGACGGAATGCCGAAATGGCTAAAGATGTTGCTCTCGGTGCCGTTCGTGTCGTCGAACATCATGCTTAGAATCACGCCGTCCTTCGCAAGGATTCTCCTCTTTATGTGCTTTCCAGGCTTCTATTTGGACATGGTTGTGACTCCCCCGACTCAACCCTGCAGCTCACTCATCACATCACGGCAAAGACCTACGGTAGTAGGACCTAAACCATGCTGCCAACACGCTACCGTGCCGTATGGCCCTGGTCAAGGGGGTAATGCGAGCCTTCAGCATGTTGGGAGCGCCCTTTGGCTTATGGAGGACCATCAGCTCTGCGGCCTGAGCGAGCGTTTGTGAACAAGCACGACATTCACGACGGCCACCATAAACTTCGCTTCCAGCTGGTGTTCGAGTACCGTTCCACAACAGCATGTATAGGCCGGGCCTTCCGAAGGATCAAGCAAAGAGTCCAAGTCAGCAACATCCGCACTTGCTCTTTGCCAGATAAGGCTGAACCTTTCAGGAACCTCCATACCAAGAGCATTCGAACCAACCAAGCGCAGGAGCCATATGCTTCCCATCCACTTTGTGCCTCGGCCGTTCAAGAGGCCAAAGTGTGACGGGGACGGACAACCGATACTCTTGACTCCACACCCGAGACCCCAAACTGTCCCAGCCCCGAACCCTACAGAAAAAAAACCGTCCTCTCAAGGATGGCTGACTTGAACCCTTCTCAACTAGGACTGAGTTGCGAAGCTAGAACTTCGGTGCGAGCGGGATCATACGAAAGGAGACGTGAAAGAAAAGCAAGAAAAAAGGAAGCATTTGCACATGATATACCCGCTGCTTTCGGCATTTGTCGATTGAACTGACGCTAACCATGCATCATGGAAGGAAGGCTACTGATACCGCTTGTGACACAGAAGCCATACAAGAGCGCCTCCGAAAGTCCCAAATTTTTGCTGTCCGGCAGTAGCATCCAAAGACATTGCACATCCCGCCCGGGCACATGCTCGGTGCGGTCAGGTGGACGGAGATCGCCTCGTAGTCTTTGGCCTCACCTCCAACAGCCAATAGAACAGACCCAGGTCGAGTCTAGTGGCTAGTGCTGTCCTTCAAAACCCGGAGCCGTCTCCCCGAAGCCACTTTTGCTGTGGACCGACTTTAATTAATGCCTCGAAGTGCCGCACTGAAACTACATCGGACATCGGAAAGTGTGTGGAAGCACATCCTGCGCATGCCGTCCCAGGTTTAGGCCTGACTCACCCCGCAAGCGAAGGTCGCCGTAGTTGCCCTCTGCATGGACCGTCCTCATGTAGGTGCCTGAAGCTTGTCGCCGAAAAAAGAGCCAAGACATTCGGATAAAGATTCACACAAAAGGCAGACAGCGTGGGGAGGGACATGGCAAACAGTATGGCGCTTTCTGGAGAGATAGGCACACAGGAAGGAAACGCACAAAAGCACCTCGCATTCAAGCGAGGATGCGGTGCCTGAACTGTATCATGGTTTCTTAAGCAAGCCAGTGCTGTGTCCTCATGGTGTGATCCCTTGTCATTCAGCTTGTGAGCACCACTCGGCCATCAGAAGCGTGACCAGCTGTCTCCTCTTCGCATATCGACTCATACATACATATAAATATATATGGTCACACCCCCCCCCCATGATCCAGCCCAGCCTTCTTGCCATCTGTTCGTCCACAGTCTTATGTCTCCAAACGCTTTCTCCGAGGTCCAGAAACCCTCGTTATTTACGGTGGTTTCTGCACTTCAC